GTGGGGGTGCTTTCCTTTTTTGCGATGCAATGCATGATGCCCAGGCATACATGGCTTCGATCGAGCAACTTGCATTTAAAGACTTGATGATTCATATGAATCCACAATTCACACGAAGTATTGCATTTTGTTATGTTTTTTATTGATGCGAGAGTCAAAATATCCGTTTATTTCCAATATAAATTTAATGTGCCTTTCTACATATTTTTATAAAAGAGAAGGAAAAAAAAATTATTTATGGAACTACTTCCTCTATTTTATTTTAGAGTATGACATTATTTCCTTATCAGTTTGTCTCAAAACGAAAACACATTTTTGTATTTAAAAAAATTCTTAATTTTAAACCATATATATATATATATATACACGCTTGTGTAGCCATAAAATAATCGTGATGCATATGATCACAAGTTATTAGGATACTTTTCAGCCTGAGCTAAAAGTCTTTTTGTATTCTTAGTTTTACATTTAATCAAATATCGTTCTATAAAATGAAAAGAAAGGCATAGTTTCTTTTTTCCAACAGCGTTTTTGGTTAAAATTTCTTTTTATCTCGTGCACAACATATGCAGGCATTGAGCTCTCCATACATGGGCAATGTAGCAGGAAGCATGGGTCACACTCACCAACAATCTGTGAGTATATATCTGAGTTGTTCTTTTCTTCACACTTTCCAATGAACGACCAAGATTATATTCCATCTTCTCTTTCACATCCATCATACACCTGCATGTGACTAATCATATATTGGATTATTATTTGATTAATTAATATGAAAAACAATTTTCTACCGTGATTCAAGAAAAGTAGTTGTTTATTATACAACGAATTTGATCATGGCTGCTTTATTGGATCCCTCGCCAAAAAGCAAGCTTTGAGATGCTTTGCATTAGTATCAAAATTTCCTTTACACAAAGAAATTGTCCTAAGGTGCAAAAGTTGCCAACTTTATGAATTCAAACAAATATTGAAGTTCTTGAACGACATGATCTCTTTAAAAAAAATTGGCTACTTTTTTCAAAATAAATTTGAAAATATTATTTGTTCATAGAATTTGATCAGTTTTTTTAAAAAAATAAAATAAAATTTTAAGTACCCAAAAACTGATTTAGGACAATATTTGGGTAACAAGTTTTCTTCCCCTTACAAAATTTCAATTTTTTCCAAATAAAATATATGTCAATACACAATTTCAATTTTCAAAAACTATTTTTTAACGCAACTTTAAAAATTCTTTTTTCAAGTTTTAGTCAAATCTATGTCCAAATGCTAGCTTATTCTGCTTAAGAAACGAATGATAAAATTTTTAAATGAGTCCCTTTATTCATATAGAAGTACTAATAATTTAGCTAGTTATCAGCAGTAATAACAACAATTATCAAATAGCTTCATTTTTTTTTTCCTGGCAACTATTAAATCTCCTTCAAATTTTTCATAGTTATATGATTTTGAAATAAATTTTGTAGGATTCTCACCATAGAGTCAAGGATTTGAGGAGTAGTATAAAAATTGAGAAAGATGATTGTGAAATTTTCTGTGTATTCTCAATAAATCACTGTATAAGAGGACTCTGTATTTATACAGATATTAGCTACCTAGAAAAGAATCTGAAAATAAAACTACCCTATGAATTATGTACACTTGTCCTATTTTCATTAGCTAAATTCTAACAATGTAACAAATTAATATTCCTTCAGCATGTGAGACTTTGTGTGCATGTGAGAAGTGGACGGTCCAGATTAAAAGCTTTATCAATTGATTTGTTGGCTGAGATGGTGCCACGTGGCTTGTCACATGGCTTATCAGGCAAAGTACTTGGCCTTGTTTTGTCCAAAAGTCCTTTCTTTCCTTCTTCTTTTTCATCGATTCTTTTCTCCTCTTCTTCTGTGTGAATTTCTTGTTGAGAAATCAGATCTTTCTGAGAAAACAAAGAGTGAGATTGATGTATTCCAACATCCCCCCTCAAGTTGGAGGGGATAGAAGATACCCCCGACTTGCCAAGGATCAATCTGTGAGAATGCCCTGACAAAGGTTTTGTGAACAAATCAGCAAGTTGAAGTTTGGAGGGTACAAAAGAGAGGGAGATGAGGCCGGAAAAGAACTGTTGCCGCACAAAGTGGCAATCGAGTTCAACGTGTTTGGTTCTCTCATGAAAAACGGGATTCCGGGCAATATGTATCGCCGCTTGGCTGTTAGAGAAAATTGGAACCAGAATCAGAGGAGGAGTAGATAGATCTGTGAGAAGATGAGTTAACCAAGTAAGCTCAGCCACTAGGCGCCGCATTGAATGATACTCTGCTTCAGCGGAAGATAGAGACACAAAAACTTGCTTCTTAGATTTCCAAAACACCGATGAACCACCTAAGCTGATGAAAAACCCACTGACGGAGCAACGACTATCACGGCAAGAAGCCCGATCAGCATCACAGAAGGTCAATAAATCAAAGAGGGCCGAGCATTGAGGAACAAACCCTGGCTAAGATTAGAGCGAAGATAACAAAGGACGTGTAAAGCTGCTATGAAATGACCAATGCAAGGGTATTGCATGTATTGGCTGAGAGTCAAAACAGCAAATGAAAGATCAGGCTGCGTATGAGTCAAATAATTGAGCTTGCCAAAAAGGTGACGATAGAAGGAAGCATCAGATGCTGATTAGAGGTGGAGAGGGCAGAAAAGGAGAATGGAGGTGGTGAACAAGGAGTAGAAAAACAAGAAGTGGTAAGATCAGTGAAATAGATGTTATTGCAAACATAGTCCTTGAGATAACTAGGCAGGGTGCCTATATTATCTCTGTTGGATCTCTTGAGGGGAATAGAGGGAGAGGAAAAAACAAGAGAAAGGGTAGGGGAATTAAGGGAAGCAGGTAGAGAAGCAGGTGAAACAACACGTGAATCTGGGTGTGTAAGAAGACAATTAGGATAGGTGTGAGGTGTGGGTGTAGATGGTGGTATAACTGATAGTGGAGAAGAAGTGTCAGGGGTGAAATGACTTGAAGGAGGAGGAAAAACTAAAGGAATTTGAACTGATGGAGAAAGAGGGTCTAGTGTAGGAGAATTTGTATAGCTGAATGGAAAAATATGTTCGAGAAAATGAACATCCCTTTAAACAAACAGTTTCTTGGTATTCAAATCCAATAGTTTGTAGCCTTTTTGTCCAATAGGATATCCCATGAAAACACATGCCTTTGCCCTAGGTTCAAATTTACCTCTATGATGTGACAAAGTAGAGGCATAGCATAAACAACCAAAACTTCTTAAGAAGGAATAGGAGGGTGTTTGGTTAAATAATACTTCATAGGGAGTTCTACCTTTAAGGACCTTAGAGGGGAATCTGTTGATTAGAAAAGTAGCTATCAATATGCATTCTCCCCAATAAGATATAGGCATCTTGGATTGAAACAATAGAGCCCTGGCCACTTCCAACAAATGTCTGTGCTTTCTCTTGACAATACCATTTTGTTGAGGAGTACCCACACATGAAGTTTGATGTAGAATTCCTTGAGATTGCAGAAATATAGATGCAACAGTTGCTTTTCCTAATTCTAAAGCATTATCTGATCTGATGATCTTTACTTTAGCATTGAATTGTCTTTCCACCATGCTTAAGAAACATTTTAAGACATAAAATGCATTGCTCTTTGTGCTTAACAAATAAGTCCAAGTTGCTCTTGAAATCATCCACAATGGTTAAAAAATATTTGTATCCATTATGAGTAGGTGTCCTATAAGGTCCCTATGTGTCAATGTGAATTAAATCAAATGCTTGTTTAGTTTTGATGTGACTAATTGGAAATGGTAATCTAGACTGTCTTGCTTGAGGACATATATCACAATCACAAACAGGAGTAGAAGGAAATAATATAGAATTGATGTGTTTCATTGCAATGAAGGGCAAATGCCCCAATCTTACATGCCATAACATTACATCGGATTCTGTTTTTTCTAAGATAGGAAAAGAAAAAGAAGTTGAAACTCAATTAGAAAAAGACTTCTTAAACAAAGATATTGCAGTCTTTGAAGATAGGTTCCTAGACTCTGTCACATTAGGCTGTACTAAGTAGAGTCCTTCTTTAGCCTCACCAAAAACTTGTGAACTCTTCATGAGAGGGCCTTGTGTCACACCTCCATTTTACACACCCGAAGGATGATATAAGGGAGTTTTTCCCAATTAAAGTGACATTATTCAAAATGAGATTATTTATTTATTTTTATAGGAGTCGCCACTTAGAATAAATTATGGTGTCCCAAGTCACCGGTTTATTTTAAATCCCGAATCGAGGAAATTTCGACTTTCCTTTTGAAATCTGCGAACCAAAAATTCTAAGTAAGGAATTCTGTTAACCCGGGAGAAGGTGTTAGGCATTTTCGGGTTCCATGGTTCTAGCACGGTTGCTTAGAAATTTATACTTGGCTTTAGAGCGAATGAGATTGATCGAAAACATAGTCTGAATTGGATGTGTGAAGCATGCCGCCAGCTTTTCATCCTGAGCCTGGATCAAACTCTTCATGCAAGGAATAGAATTGTTTAATTACTCATTTTTAAAACCTATGTGCAATTATCTTTTTATCACTTTTAAATCATTTGAATAATGCGTAATTAAAGAATTGAGTTACGCGTATGTATACTCTTTTCTTTTGGCGCATCAAAATCATGTCACGCGTACGTGTCCACAATCAATAACGTTTTGTTTATTTTATTAAGACAAGTTTGGTTGAGGTTGCACGAACGCATACCTTGATTTTAACTTGGAAAATCATAACTATGTCACGCAGATGTGTACATAATCAAAAAAGAAATTGACTGGTTAACACCAACCTAAAGCATACTAGTGTATTCAGGATATTCCATTTATTTTTCCTTTTAGATTCTAGACATTTAGTTGTGTATTATTATATTTTGTTTCTATTACAAAGTGTCTTACATTTGTTCCTAATTCATCCTCTCATAATTTTTTAACCCTCTTTTTATTTCTTGCAATGTTCTTGAATTAATTCGCAACCAGCATCACTTCCTCTCTTATGATTATTTTTCACTAATAGGCATAAAATGTTCTATGCCTATTTAGTATACTCTTCTTGAAACCTTTTTGTTAAAATTGACATATAAATGCGAGCAACAACTCGGCCAAAATTCAGCCATGACCTTGTAACTAATTAACGTAATAACAAGACATTAATTTGAAAATACAGTTACATAACTATCACAATCAAGAGAACCGGTTCTTGACTCTAAAAAATGGGAATCAACAAACTAATCTAATTCTTGAAACTATTCCAAACAAAATTATCCTACTATTATCTCCTTTANAAATGGGAATCAACAAACTAATCCAATTCTTGAAACTATTTCAAACAAAATTATTCTAGTATTATCTCCTTTATATATATACTATTTTTATACTTTCCCTTTAAGACTAAATGCATGATCAAATTAACAATTTACGGAAGTTATTTAGGCTTACAAGAATAGCTCGGTCATTTACACTCTGTCGACTATATTTATTAGAATACTCGTTTTCTTGGAATGATTCTTCTTTCAAACCTTTAATTACAAAGAACGATATTAAGAGCGTTAACACTAAATGTTAACACGGCTAGAACTTCTCAAATTCTTATACCATAAAATGTTTAAAAATATAGCGTTAACATATTTAGCAATATATATGAACCAAATATTAAAGAAATGAAGAGGAACCTTTTATGAAGATCAACATGGTAAAGTTCTTCCAAACAATCCATACCCCAAATTCAATATGCATAATTTAAACCACAGAGTTCAAGCAAACAATTCCCAATCTACCACAATTCTAAGTTAAACGCATTAATGGAAAACTTATACATTTCGAGCTAAACTTGACTGACTAATACAGTACATCACAAGTAGAATCGAAAAGAAAATTTTATACGGATCAACCTAATACTGAATTTATGCTTTAAGACAGCTTCTCATTTATTCTGCAAATCCATTACATAAACCACTGAGGTTCAAAATGTGTACCTGATGATAGCAATGGAAACACCAAAGAAA